ATGCCTGACTGCCTCAGTGGTAGAATATATGACTTTCAATCTCAAAGTTATGAGTTCAAGCCCCATGTTGGGTGTCGGGGGAAAAAAGGAAGAGGAGGGAAAGAAGAAGAGGATGAAGGAGAAGAAGGAGGAGGAGGAGGAGAAGTTGTTGAAGTTGTTGTTGAAGTTGCTTTGATAGGGGAATTTGATTTGCTGATTGTGGAACACTTCTAGAGGACTTAAAGCAAGGGTTTCTGACAACTTGAGGAGGGAGGTGCTGGAGCGAGATGGTGGTGACTGAGAGAGCCACGATCTAAGAGTCTCCCTCCTAGATGGTGCCCAAGTCATGGGTTTCCATCATCTCAAGAAACCCAACCTCCCTGGGGAAAACTGAGATCTGGACACACATGACCCTAATTCTTCCCCACTTCCATGACGTTCACTACTGGAAATACAGGACACCGGCAGGGTAACCCCAACCACAGCGACTATTCCAGGTGTGAGCTCCCTGCTGGATGAAATCAACCCAGCCCTTGGCATCCAGAATGGTGAATCCATTCCTCTCTCTCACAGTAGACAGAGGAACTCGAAGCGGTTTGCTTTCACTAGGGATGGTGTAGGTTTAGCCCCAGAGATACATCTACATCCAAATTTCTGGAACCTATAAATGGTGTCTTACTTGTGAAAAGGGTCTTTGCTGATGTGATGAACTTAGGGATCTTGCAGAGAAAAAAAAGGGAAAGGAAAGAAAACCCAGTGGTAAAAGTCCTAATATCCTAAAAACGGAGGCGGGGGGTGGGGGGTGGGGGGATATTTGAGACAGACTGAAGAGAAGAAAAGCCTCCAGAGTGAGGCCCTGTTGATAATTCGATTTCAGACTTCTGGCCTCCAGGACCACAAGAGAGTAACTTTCTGCCTCCTGAGTCACCAGGATTGTGGTGAGTGTTACTGTAGCCCCAGGAAACCGCCACAAGTCACACCTTCCCCGGGGGTCACACTAATTCTCTGACTATTCTTTGAGATAATGGAACCGCATATATGATGCAATGCTGATAAGACCTGTAGCGCAGGAAGGAGCAGACAGGTACACTGCATGTCTCTCTTAACACACACATGCCAGAGCATGGCAGATAAACACCCTGAAAATCGGGGAGCCTGTCGCCTCAAGGAGGTTCCTGAGAATCAGTCTGTCTGAGGACAGTGGGAACATCCCATTCAGATGAAGCTAACTTCACTACTAACAAATGAGATAAAATCTCCACGGGAGGAGGCATTCCTTAGGCTGCTTTGTGCTCACACAGGAGGCACTTGTATTTGTTGACAATGACTGCAAGTTTCAGATTGGACCTGGAGTATGTAGGGAAAGATCCGTGTGATATTGATACAACAGGGCTCCCTAGGACCCTTGTAAATCCTGAGTGGTGGGGGGGAGAGGAGAATCCTCTGTGCAATACAAGCCCCTTTCAATCATAGCTGAGTTTATGCTCATGAGATGAGTCTAGGCGAGCCCTTAGGCAGCTCAGGATGGGGCTGACTGCCTGAGAAATCAAGCCTGTGATTGGAAGGTTGGAATTTTCAGCCCCACCCCCCAAGAACTTGATTGGAACTTGATTGTGGAAAGCCAATGATTTAATCAACCATCCCATGTAACGGAACTTCCATAAAATTCCTAAACAGCAGGGCTCAGAGACCTTCCAGGTTGGTAAAGGCATCAGGGAGCTGGGAGGTGGTATGTCTATATGGATGCTCAGCATCTCTCCTCCCATACGTTGCCCTACAAGTCTCTTTGGCTGTTCTCTCGAGTTGTATCCTTTGTAATAAGTCAGTAATACTAAGTAAAGTGCTTCCTTTCCTTTTTTTTTTTTTTTAAGATTTTATTTATTTATTTGACAGAGAGAGATCACAAGTAGGCAGAGAGAGAGGGGAAGCAGACTCCTTGCTGAGCAGAGAGCTCTATGCGGGGCTGGATCCAAGGACCCTGGGATCATGACCTGAGCCGAAAGCAGAGGCTTAACCCACTGAGCCACCCAGGTGCCCCTGTAAAGTGCTTTCTTGACCAGTGCTGAGCCCCCTACGTGGTAGGTTTCCTAGGGAGACCAGCCAAATACCTGGTCACCTGAGAATTATGTTGGGCTCTCTCCATCATGAAATGAGCAATGACTTTTTCCTCCCTGGAATAATTAAATCTGGGTTGTTACTTGCTTTCTTGGCCTTACTCACTCCTGCCAACAGCAGCATCTGTGCGCCCACTGAATGGCCCTATTCACTGTCACGTTGACCCACACATTACTGCTTCTGATCAAGGAACCCCATTTATTAGGAAGTCAGTGGGCAGCCCATGTACCCCATCACCCCAAAGTGAGCTTCACAAAACAGAGGTACAGCCCGTTTGGGAAAGCATCACAGTGCCAGATGGGAGACAACGTCCTTGGTGTGTGTGTGGGGGGGGGGAAGGCTACAGGATGGACAAACACTTGGAACCAGGGGCACATGCATGGTGCCAAATTATACCATCCAGGAGCCCTAAGGTATCACTTCTCAAGATCACACCCGGTGACTCATTCTTTCAATGTTTGTTTCCTCTTCCTGCCACCCTGAACTCTGCTGTTTTGGGGTTTTCGTGCCTAAAGGAAAACACTTCCCCCAGAGAGCACAACATAGTAAAATGTGGGACTGGAGGCCACCCCTGGACTATCTGTGGTATCTGAGGAGTGCGGCTATGGGGTCAGGCAAAGAGGGTGACTGACTGGGGCAGGAAGGAGGGAGAGACGCCTCTGCACCGGGGACCAGGGAGGTGTGTGAGTGGAACCTGGAGGTGTGTGAGTGGCAGCTCGCACCGGGTCCTGACTCCTCAGGCAGGGCCGGATGCCTGACCCCTTCCCTTACGCAGGACACAGAATGACAAGGAGGGTCTGTGCCTATCCCCTTTGCGGGGCCACAGACGTGGGCAGGCAAGCTCCTCATCCCCCCCCCATACCGCCGCGCTCACCGCTTCCTGGCGCCCCCCCGCCCCTCCCACCTCCGCAGGGCACGCAGTCTGCCAGACAGGCTCCCGGACCCCGTCCGACCACCCCACCCCGCCGCGACTTGCGCGGCTGCCTCGCTAGCTTAGTTGCCCTTCTGGAAGGCACCCAGCGGCAGCAGCGCCCCGTTAGCTCGGCGTGGTGGAGCTGCCGCAGCCGCAGCCGCCACCAGGCCCCGCCCAGAGGCCGCCGCGAGCGAGGCCGCGCCAGGGACGACTGCAGAGCGCGGTGAGTGAGCAGGGCCAGCGGGGAGGGACCCAGGCGTCCCGGTCCCCGCCCCTACCCCGGGCAGGCATCCCGACCTTCAGCTTCAGCTTGCTTCCCCATTCCGTCACTCCGTTTCAGGGCCCCAGAGCCGGCCTAAGAAAGGCCCCCACAGCCCCTCCCTGTTCTGGGCCTCTGGCAGTCCGGCGCCTCGGGCCCCTCCCTTTTTGCCGAAACCGGGAATCTGACGCCCCCTGCCCCCCAGCCCGGTCCTCCAGGAGCTCCCGAGCCCTTCCCTCAATCCGGGCGCCAGGAATGCAGGCCAAAAATATCCCTGGGTTCCAGACCTGGGAGGCTCGGCTTGCAACCACAGCGGAGCAGATGAAGACCCGGGAGTCGGAGCTTCCATTGCTTTTTGCCCCAAGAATCTGGGCCCCCAGCCTAGGCGTCCTTTGGAACCTGGGAGGCCGTGCGTCCCACTCCCACCGCCCTAGATGCAGGCGATTTGCTATCAGCAGCCTTTCCCCTGCCCCCATCGACTGTGACATCTGGGACCCAGGAGTCCCGCCCACCAATCCCTAACACCGCGAGCCCCAGTATAAATGAGGATTTGGGGACCCAGGAGTCGGGGACCTCAGCCCAGAAGCCCCTCAAACCCTAGGGATCGGCAGCCTCAACTATTTCGCCTTTCAGAGACCCAGGAGACAGAGACCGTATCCCACAGATCCCATTAAACCGAGAGGCCTGGTCTCCCAGCCCGCCGCCACCCAGATGTCCAAGATTCCATCGGTCCTGGAAGAGCGGGGCCGGAGCAGACGGGGATGGGAGGGGGCCGGAAGGGAGAGGGAGAGTGGAGTGAGGTGAGACTGGGGTGGGGACCTGGGCTGGGGGCTCCGTCCTAAACAGACGCTAAACAGGCGGGTTGCCATGGCAACGGCCTTCCCGGGCCGCGCCTGGAGGCCGCGCTAGGGCCGAGTCGGGGCGGACAGCCCCCAGGAGCCCCCACACCGCCAGCTGTTGTGTCTTCCTGTTTTGTCACCACGGCAACAGTGACCTCAGCCCTCCACCCCCACCACTGGCTTGGCGGGGGGAGTCTCGGTCCAGTTTACGCGGGGAGGGCGTGGTCTTTTATTGGCCCCGCCTCGGGGGGGTGGGGCTGGGATATCCCTCCTGGTTCCGGGAGTCCCTTTCTCAGCCCGAAACCCTCGCTCCCGCCGGGTCCCCGGCCCCGCCCCCAGCCCCGCCCCCGCCCCCGCCCGCCAACCCCACCCAGTAAGCAAACCCTTACAGACTGCAGCTGCTGCCGCTGCCTGAGAGGTGAGGCTGCGGGGACCCCCCGGCGTGGAAGCTGCGGTCAGGATTCCTGGGTGCTCAGGGAGGAAGGGGCTGGAGTCCCGAGTGTCTGAGTCTCTAGGCAGACTGGGGCATGGATCAGGACTCGGGTTCTGGAGACGACAGGGCTTGAGACCTGCACTCATACAGGTCATCCATAGGAAAGAGGAGGGGAACGGGAGGCCCTGACTCCTGCGTCTGAGGAAGGAGCAACTGGGGGCCTGGACTCCAGAGTCTGAGGGAGGAGGGGCTGGGGCCCTGATTCCTGGGTCTGAGGGAGGAGGGTCTGGGAGCCTGGACTCCTGGGTCTGAGGGAGGAGGGGCTGGGGCCTAGATTCCCGGGTCTGATGGAGGAGGGACGTGGGTGTCTGGACTCCTGGGTCTGAGGGAGGAGGGGCTGGGGCCCTGATTCCTGGGTCTGAGGGAGGAGGGTCTGGGAGCCTGGACTCCTGGGTCTGAGGGAGGAGGGACGTGGGTGTCTGGACTCCTGGGTCTGATGGAGGAGGGACGTGGGTGTCTGGACTCCTGGGTCTGAGAGGGATGGGGACCCCTATGTGCCCTGGCTGAAGGGGGTTGATATCTAGTACAAGAAGGTCTTCAGGAGGGGAGGAGCTTGGAGTTGGAAGTTTGGGTTTGGGAAAGAGAATGGCCTTCCACGCTCCCCACCCCTCCATTCTGGGGACAAAATTCGAACTTTGGGCCCCAAACGCCAAAAAGGGAGGACTGGGAAGCTGGTGTCCTAAGCCAGAGAGAAGCCAAGGCTGAGGCCAGCGTCCTTGGGTTACTGACAGTGGAGCAGGCTAGGGTTTAGGGACGCGAATCTCAGTTTGAGCGACGGGGTGTGGTGTTTGGCGTGGAGGTGGCGAGAGGGGATGGGCGTGGCCGGGGGAGTCCTGAAGCAGCCAGGAGAAGCCGAAGGGGTATTTCCTCTCTCTCCGGCTGTCTCCGGCCGCGCATTCCTGAGTTCTGACCTCAGGCGGCGGCTGCCTGGCGGAAGGCGACGGACCCCTCCCCTCCGCGCGGTCCCTGCGCTACCCACCTCCTTCCTCGGGGCACTTCTGTGGAGCTGTGGCTCGCGCTCTTCCTCCTTGCCTGCTTGGGACCCGGCAGTACCCGCTTTCTAGAACGCCAGAGTGTAGGCCAGTCCTGACCTCCTCCTAACGGGTTTTCGAAGGGTGTGTCGGGGGAGCCGGAGGCCCCGGGTAGCACCTCCCAGGTGGCCCGGGAGGCCCAGCCCCTACCCATAGACCTGACTTCCGAGGGGTGGTGGGAGGTGTGGCTACCAATCTCTGGCCTGGATTCCGACACCGCAGTTCCCGCTTCGAGGGGCTGGCGGGGCGGGGGCGGGAGGGGGGGTCAGCTAGGCAAATCCCAGGGGTCCGGCTTCCCAGCCAGTGGTCTCTCACAGACCCTCTTGGGTCCAGGCTCCCAGCCCCTGCTCTGGGGACCCAGAACTCACATTTTGAAGGACCCAGAAATTCAGGCTTCGGGCCTCACGTCCTAGGTGGACCTTCCTCTCCCAAGATCCACGAGTGGGGCGGGCCCTCCCGAGGCCGGCGGGGGGTGGCGGAGGTCCCAGCACCGCCCCGCCTCCCTCCGCCCGGGTCCCCGCCACATTCCAGATGGCTGGGCTGACTTGAAGCCCTTATAAGGCCCGGAGACGCTGCGCGGGGCCTGACCGCCCGCCCCCGCAGCCACTGCCCAGGGACCTCCCGCCCGTCCGCCCCGCGGACTTCCTGGGCTGCGTCCGGGTTAAGATCACTCACGCCCCCGCCCGCCCGCGGTCGTGCACTTTCTCCGGTTTCCCTCCATTCCCGCCCCCGCAGTTTGGGGACTGGGGAGGGAGAAGGGGCTGGGGCTCGCTGCGGTCACCTCCGGGACCTCTCCCGGCTCGCGGCCAGATCCCCGCCTCGGCTGGGAGGGCGCCCGGCCTGCGGAGCCTGGCTGCGCGTTCTGGGCGAGCCCCAGCGGCGGGCGGGCGGGTGGCCTGGGTCCCGGCGGGCCGGAGCCGGAGGGAGCTGGGCGCTGACTCTCTCTCTCCCCCTCCCTCCTGTGTTCTGACCAGCCTTTTCCTGGTGTCGGACTTAATCCACCTCCAGAGCCGGATCTTTAGCCATAGGGGTTCTCGGCAGAGACCGCAGGTGAGTGAGCCTGGACTCCGCGTCGGAGTCGAGAGGGGCTGGGGGCCCGGACTCCTGGGTCTGAGAGAGGAGGGAGCTTCCCACCTAGACTCTGTGTCGGAGGGAGGGGCATCTGGGGCCTGGACTCTGAGATTCTGAGAGAAGGACCTTGGAGCTGGGTTTCCATGGAAAGAGACCCAGACACCTGTTTACCTGGGAAAACAGTGTGTCCAGGAAATGGGCTCCCAGGTCCTTGGGACCTCTTGCAGGGACAGCTGGGCAAGCTAGAACCTGTTCTACTGTCCTATAGGCCCTCCTGTGCCTGCCCATGGAAGGAGGAAGTTTTATTTCCCTGCAGCTGAGAGAAGCCTTCTGAGCTTTTTAGGGGTGGAGGGCAAGAGGGTAGATGTCAGAGACCTGAGGGAGGATTTGGACCCCCGGTCCCCAAGACACTGGGCCCTCTCTCCCTGAGGGTCTCTAGGACAAGGAGATAGAAGTTGTAGGTTCTGGAGGGACAGAAAAAAGAAGCTGATTTTCTAGACCGCCGGTGTCTGGTGAACTCAAGGCCCACTGCCCAGAGTCCTGAGGTCTGAAGCTCTGTAACCAGACGTGAGAGGCCTGGAGATTTCAGTGGAAGGGGCTGGGGCACCAGACAGTAGAGAATCGGGAGTGCTTGAGTTTCTTGGAAGTTAGGGAACTTGGAGATTGGACTCCATGTGGGGGAGGGGCATAGGCAGAAGGAAGCTCAGTGTCCTTGGGGGTAGTACTCCAGCCCAATATCCCAGGTGGGATTGCGACGGAGGTCACAGACCCTTGATCTCTCTGGTAGAGGGTGGACTTGAGAGGGCATGTTCCTGAGAGCTGAGCCCCAGTTCCAGAGACAGGCTGGGAGTTCAGAAGCTCTGATCACATGTGGGTCCCTGAGAAGGTTCCCATGTGGAGGTTGGACTCTTGGATGTCTGGAGGCTGGAAATGCCTGTTGGGTGAAGGAAGGTAGGTGTGTGCAGGAGCAGGTATGCAGAGCCCTGGGTACTCAGAGGGAGGAGGTAGAGCGCACAAAGCAGGGCCTCTTGTTCTGATGTATGATTGGAGATGTTTTAGAACAGAGTCCTCAGTGGCTGGGTGGCTGATCCCTGGGGGACTGACGGCAGCTCTGAGTGTCGGGGTGGGGGGGTTGAAAGGTAGATGGTTTTACAATCGTTGGGTTGCAGAGAGAGGAGATCGGCAGCCTAGACTCCTGGGTTCTGACAGGGGAGGTGGGGAATCCAAGTCCAGAGTGGAGAGGGGTCTGGGACCTGGGTGACCAGCTGATCCCCATAGGCCCGCAACTTTACCACTTTGAAAAGCCTGCACCCTGGGTGCCCCCCAGCTAGCCTCCAGGTTACTTTGTGCCCCTGGGGGGAGGAAAGGCCGAGGGCCTGGATTCCCACATTTGGAACCTTCTTAGGACACTTCCTCTCCCTCCATCCCAGCCATGCCGGTGACCGTGACCCGCACAACCATCACGACCACCACGTCGTCATCCTCAGGCCTGGGCTCCCCAACCATTGTGGGGTCCCCTCGAGCACTGACCCAGCCCCTGGGCCTCCTCCGCCTGCTGCAGCTGCTGTCCACCTGTGTGGCCTTCTCCCTGGTGGCCAGCGTGGGTGCCTGGACAGGGGCCATGGGTAACTGGTCCATGTTCACTTGGTGCTTCTGCTTCTCTGTGACCCTCATCATCCTCATAGTCGAGTTATGCGGGCTCCAGGCCCGCTTCCCCCTGTCCTGGAGAAACTTCCCCATCACCTACGCCTGCTACGCCGCCCTCTTCTGCTTGTCGGCCTCCATCATCTACCCCACCACCTACGTCCAGTTCCTGTCCCACGGCCGCTCCCGGGACCACGCCATCGCTGCCACCACCTTCTCCTGCATCGCTTGCGTGGCTTATGCCACTGAAGTAGCTTGGACCCGGGCCCGCCCCGGGGAGATCACCGGCTACATGGCCACTGTGCCAGGCCTGCTCAAGGTGCTGGAGACCTTTGTGGCCTGCGTCATCTTCGCCTTCCTCGGCGGCCCCTCCCTGTACCAGGACAAGCCAGCCCTGGAGTGGTGTGTGGCTGTGTACTCCATCTGCTTCATCCTGGCGGCCGTCGCCATCCTGCTGAACCTGGGCGACTGCACCAACATTCTGCCCATCTCCTTCCCCAGTTTCCTGTCGGGACTGGCGCTGCTTTCTGTCCTTCTGTATGCCACGGCTATCGTGCTCTGGCCGCTCTACCAGTTCAGCGAGAGGCACGGAGGCCACTCCCGCCGCTATTCCGACGTGGGCTGCAGCAACCGGCACGCCTACTACGTGTGCGACTGGGACCGCCGACTGGCCGTGGCCATCCTCACGGCCATCAACCTGCTGGCTTACCTGGCCGACCTGGTGTATTCGACCCGCCTGGTGTTCGTCAGGGTCTGAGGCTCTGACCACGACCGGCGCTCTCAAGTCCCACTTGTCGGCCGAGGTTTCTTTTCCCAAGTCCTCCTTTCCTCTTCCTGGCTGCCTCTCTCCTGCCTTTCCTGTTTCCTTCCCCAGCCATCCTGCTCTTCACCATTCCTTTAGCTTCCTGCCTCTCTCCTGTTGCTCTCACCTTTCCTTCCTGTTTTGTTGGGTTGCCCACATCCTGTTTTGCTTGTTTGCCTCTTTCTGTTTTCACCTCTTCTTTCCTCCCGGCCGCCTCTTTCCCAGTTTCTTTCTTCAAATTTCCTTGGGAGCTCTGAGACTTCTCTCTTCTCTGCCTCCATCCCACTGCCCCCCACTTCCAAAGGTGCTGAGCTCCGTGTCCCACTCCCCTCTCCTGCAGCTGTTCCCTCCCTGGGCCTCCCAAGGGGCCTCATTGCCAAAGCATGCCTACCCGCCCTGGCTGTGCCTTAGTTGGTGTGTACATGTGTGTTTGTGGGGGTGGGGTGGGCAGCTTGAGAATGGGGCTCCCTTTCTCCCAGTGTAGGGGGTGCATACAGTGCATGTCCCCTTTCATCTCTGGAGGCCAATGATCTCCAGTGGGCATGAGGCTTCAAGCACAGGCCCCGGGTGCATGGGCCTTGCCTGGCCCCCAGCCTCGCCTGAGATTAGCTCCAGAACTTTGGCCAGGCTTACTAACATCCCGCTGCCTAGAGGCCATCTTACAGGAAGTAAAGGGTGGAAGCCTCCCATCCCAACTGCTCTCTGGGTTATCGAAAAAGTGGTGGCCAGCAAAGAACCATATGGTCTTAAGGACGACTGTCTAAGTGTTAGTGGAGGGGGAGGGCAGGGATATGGCCCTCCCATCTCAGTGTTAAAAACAGCGTATACTGCCTTTGCCGGGAGAAGAGGTTGGCCACCTGCCTGCCTTAAAGGCAGGCAGTGTGAACCTGGGTTGGTTGGTTGGTTGGTTTTCCTTTTCTGGTCACAAGGGCAAAACGTCCTGGGTGGCCCTCTTCTAAAAGGGAAGTTTCTTTTCAATGTGTTTTTCTTGGGGGTGGGTGGGTTGGGTAGGTGGGGGTGCCATCGCCATAGAGGAATTGCTTGCTCAAGTGTGGTGCGCGCGCGCGCACACACACACACACGTGTGTTTCTGCATGCTAATTGCTTCCTGTAGCTGCTTCCTGCTTCTCTGGGACTCACATGCGCAATGTCATATATATAAATGTATAAATATATATTTTTTATTTTTTTTTTAATTCCCTGGAGCTTCTGGTTCCCATCAGTCCCTGCCATCAACTACAGAGGGAAGACTTGTCCATTCCCTCACTCCCACATCCGTGTTTTTTTTTTTTTTTTTTTTACATCAATATAAAGATAAAAGAAAAACTGTGCTTGCTTTATTGTTGGGGAGGACTCCAGGAGAGAGGGCAAGGTCCAGATTCTTGGGTCTTGTGGGAGAGGGGGCCTGGGACCTGGCCAACTTTGACCTTTGGATCTCCCAAAGCCAGGAGAACTAGTTAGGATTGAAATGAATGAGATTGGTCCCTCCTTGAAATCCCATGAGCAACTCCAGAAACAGTGTCCCCATCTGAGTGCAACATTCCCCCCCCCCCAAATCAACTCCTCAGGTTCCGCATCTCAGTAATAGGCTCCCCAGCCTGCAAACCCAGGCTCTGGTTCTTCCCATCCACTCTATCTGTTGCTCACCAGACACTGTCTAGCCTTCCTCAACTGTCCCCAATGCCAGCTCCTGACCCAGCTCAGGTATCATTTTGTCCTGAGCTAGTACCCCAGGCTCCCTCCTGCCCACTCTGGCCCAGGGGGATGCTTCTAACCTCTGACACTGCCCTTCCCTGCTCCAATCCTGTATGTGCCTACAGGTGATACCAGAGCTCCTCTGGGACTTGAGGATCTGGCCCTGCCTGCATTCCCACCAGCTCCATCTTACCCTCAGTTCTAAGTTTCCTGACACAACCGGTCCACAGAAGACCTCGATAAAGAGCAAACGAATTACTCTTACAATGAGTCTCTGTTCTACAGAAGGCCCTGTTGCCTGAGGAGAGTCACAAATACATCAACATAAATCCGCAAAAATCCCAGGATCAAGCAACCCATCCTCTGCACTTACACCCGCAAGAGCAGTTGGCGAGCGCTACGTCCAGGGAGGGTCCCCGGAGAGAAGGAAGGGCCACCGGGAGCAGGCGCACTCCTTTTCCAGGAGAGGCCTTCTTCTGAGCTCTGCGGCGTCCACCCCGGAATTCTGACCCACACCAAAGCCTGCCTCCAGCAAAGGCGCCTAGCCCCGCCTCCCCACCCCATGCTTGAACCCCTTCTGGAAGGGACCAGAGAGAACAGCTCTAGGACCCGGGGGTGATGTGTTGGTGATGCGGGAAAAGCAGCCAAGCAGGGCAAGGTGGGATCCTTAGGTCCGTTTCCAGGGCCGCCCCCCCCCCACCCATATCCTTGCCCTTGGGAAGGCTGGGCACCTGGAGGTGGGTGGCAGGCAACAGCACCCCACTTCCGAGGGGCTTGGAGAAGAGCCTGATTCCCTCACCTCCCCTTCTGCTTCGGGAAACCGGCCCGGGACCTCCAGAATTCCCAGAGAAGGTGCGGCGGGCCGGGTCCCCAGGCGCCGCGGCGGCGCCCCGCCCCCGCTCGCGGGGCTCGCCGGGAGAGGAAGTTCCCGGCCGCGTCGCCACAACAGGTGGTCCGCAGGCTCAGACTCCAAGTCCCAGGATGCACCGCACTCCGCGGCCCGGGGCGGGCCGTGGTTGCCCTTGGCAACAGAGCGGGGCCGGGGCGCCGTGAACCCGTAGCTTTGCGTGTCGGGGGAGGGCGGGGCGGAGAGGGGCAGGGGCTCGGGCGGAGCGACGGAGCCGGCACGGGAGCCCCACTGGGCCGACGTGCGGAGGGCCGGAGTGCACAGGGTTTTCCAGGGTCAGGGAGGCCCGGGGAGGGCCGGGGAGACCCCCAGGCACGGGAGAGGTTCCGAGCCAGAGAGGGTGAGAGAGGGATCAAGATGGGGGCCGATGAGCTCGGACCTTCGGAGATCCCCGGCGACGGAGGGAGCGGCTGGCAGAGCCAGGGAGTGGGTCAGAGAGAGCGACGAGCACAGGGAGGTTCGCGGACACGGCCGGGGAGAAGGAGGGCGGAGGGGTGGGGGGACACAGAGACTGGCTCTCAGAGAGGAAGACGCAGAGGGAGGGGACACGGAGGCCCACAGTCACAGCCCGGCGGAGAGCGGCCGAGAGCGAGCCCAGAGATAGACAAAGAGAGGCGGAAGAGGGGATGTATGAGACCTCCGCCGCCGAGAGGCCGAGGGACACTGATTCCCGGTGAGACAGACGCCACAGAAGGAGCGACGCCAAGACCCCGAGAGGGTCACAGGATGGCCACGGGCATAGATGGAGACACAGAGCAAAACAAAACAAAACAGAGAAATAGAGGCAAGGGACAGAGACATGGGACAGGGAGCCAGGAACACTGGCCAGGGACAGAGACACGGGACAGGGACCCCGGAACTCAGGGACACAGGACAGGGAGCCAGCAATACTGGACAGGGACAGAGACACGGCACAGGGAGGCGGGAACACTGGGACAGGGACACAGGACAGGGAGCTAGCAACAGTGGGACAGGGACACAGGACAGAGAGCTGGGAACACTGGACAGGGACAGACACACGGGACAGGGAGGTGGGGACACTGGGACGGGGACACAGGACAGGGAGCCGGCAACACTGGACAGGGACAGAGACTGAGAGAGCCAGGGGCAACCCCAGAGGGAGACACGGACATACAAATTTCACCCACGCCCAGAGAGAAATCAAGACTTGAAGAGCAGCAGAGACAGCAGGTCTCCGCGTCCACCACTGGGTCCCCAGCACTGAATACAAAGTTTGTATTGAAATGAAATGTAGTGAAGCAGAGTGACACCGTCAGAAACCCAGGGATCCGAGTGCAGTCTCAGCGGGCTCACGGGACCCACCGAGGTCCCAAGTGGGGAGGACGCCCGGCCGGGGCGACAGATGGAGGTGGAGGCAGGGCACTGCTCAGAGGATGCCCCCTCCCTCCAGCCAGCCCCCAGAGTGGGTGTGCGCACGTGTGTGTCGGAGGCAGGGCGTTTGTCCCGCGTCTCAGGGAGGGGGGGGGACGCCTTTAAGCTGAAACCCCGCCCCTCGGTCGTCATGGCAACACCTCCCCCCAGCCGGGGCTCCCACATTTCAGCAGGTGCCTGAGCCGGAGCTCCCGCCGCCGCCGCCGCCCTTGCCTCCGGCTCCTCGGCGCCCCTGCCCTCGGCTCTCCGCCCTGTCCGCCCGCTCCCCCTGGTGGAGCCGGCGCGCCCCGGGGTGCCGCTCCCTGCCCTGCGCTCCGCTCCTGGAGGTGCCTCGCCCCTCTCCTTTCCTCCTCGCAATCTCCCCGTGGCTCAGTGCTCTCCCGAGTCTCCGGCTCCTCGCCTTTCCACCTGTTTCCCCAGAAAGGCAGGATCCTGGTCCCTGCTACGTTCCTGGGGCCATGGCAGGCCTGGGCCCCGGCGGAGGCGATTCAGAGGGGGGACCCCGGCCCCTGTTTTGCAGAAAGGGGGCTCTGAGGCAGAAGGTGGTCCATGAAGTCAAGAGCCACAAGTTCACCGCCCGCTTCTTCAAGCAGCCAACCTTCTGCAGCCACTGCACCGACTTCATCTGGTGAGAGAAGGGGCTGGGGGCTTGAGGGAAGATGGAAGGAGGGATGGAGACTCATGTCACCCCAGGCCACTGAGGGATGGAGAGGGAGAGGGCTGCAGCCCTGGCTTCTGGTCCTAGGGTAGGAAGGGGCTGGGGACTGGAACCCTGAGTCTGAGGGAGGAGGGCCTGGGGGCCTGGACTCCTAGGTCTGAAGGAGGAGGGGGCTGGGGACCTGGACTCCAGGGTCTGAGGGAGGAGGGGCTGGGGACCTGGACTCCAGGGTCTGGGGGAGGAGGAGGCTGGGGGTCTGGACTCCTGGGTCTGAGGGAGGAGGAGGCTGGGGGCCTGGACTCCTGGGACTGAGAGAAGAAAGACTGAGGGCCAGAATTTCTGGGCTCTAGAACAAGAGGCAGCTGGGGTCCTGCTCGTGGAGGGAGGAAGGCGCAGTAAAGCTGGCAGAGGTGGGAGGCCCCGTACCCTTTTCTGCACTGACCTCGGATCCTTGATCTTGCAGGGGGATTGGAAAACAGGGCCTGCAATGTCAAGGTAAGACCTGGGGACCTGGACTCCTGGGACCCTCAGGAGGGTGGAGGCTGGGGCCCCACAGCCCAGGAGGCTTGACACACGTGTTCTTTGGTCCCCAGAGAGGCGCGGGGGAGCCCGGGGCGGGGGGTGTGGCAGAGACACAGCCTGCTGTGGGGAGGGAGCTCTGATGGTGGGGCCACCGCGGAGGTGGTGCTGGGGGCCCCTCCCTCGGCCGGCTCCAGGTGGGGACAGATATTTGGAGAATCTGTTGCCATGGCAACAGGGAGATTTGGAAAAGGGGAGCTGAAGGGGGGGCTGGAGATGCGGAATCAGAGCCCCCCCCCAAGCTGTTGTCGCCATGACAACACCAACAGTCCTAGGCAGGGGCAGGCCGGGTGGGGTCACCAATGGGCGGGAGGGGGCCGGGCGGGGCTGACAGTTATGCGGGGCGGGAGAGGGGGGCGAGTCCTGAAACACCAGCTGCTACTGCTGAGAACAGAGTGAGTCAGGGAGGGGGAGGCCTCCCTCGGCCCCCAGACTCACTTCTGCCCAAGTCGCTGCTCTCTCTGTGCTGTTGGAGGACATTGCTGTTTGCTCTCCGCAGCCTGCCTCTTTCCTTGCTTTCTTGCCTCACCTCGGTGGGCTCGTCTGTCCATGGGATCCTGTTTTCTCTCTGTGTCCCTGGGTCTCGGTGTTTCTCGGTCTTTCTCTGTCTCCCTCTGGCTGTGTGTAGGCACTGGGGTCTCTCTGCTCTGTGATGCTCTGTGTCTCTGTTTCTGTCTTTGGGTTCAACCCCTGAATTTCTATCTCCTGTGCCCCTCTCTGTGGTTTTCCTTCTGTTGGAGTCTCTCCCTTTCTGATTTTCTGTCCATTGGGCTCTCTCTCTGTCTCTGTGTCTCTATGATTCTCACCTTCAGTCTGCAGCTTTGTGGTTCATCGACGATGCCACGAATTTGTGACCTTCGAGTGTCCAGGCGCTGGGAAGGGCCCCCAGACGGATGTGAGTGCCCGTGCCCGGACACCTGATTCTTCCTCCTTGGGCCACGCCCCCGCCCTCACCCCCTCGGCGTCCGTCCCAATTTCTCCTGCTATTTTTAAGGCTGGGAGGGGAGGGGGGCTGGAGAGATAGGGGGAGCTAGTCTGGCCCAGATTCCCTGCCCTTGGCCTGGAAAGGGGAAATGAGAGGGGGCTGAGACAGGCTGGGGACACACGTGGGGGACAGAGAAGAGGCAGTGGGAAGGGGACTGAAGATGAGCATTGGAGGGGGTGGGCTGTCATCCAGGGGTCAAGAGATTTAAAAAACGGAGAGTGGAGGGACAGAGAGAGAGACGACCATTGATGCAGGCACGGAGGTAAGACAGAGAGAGAATCTCAGAAATGCAGAAAAAGAGACCCAGAGAGAGTGAGACAGAGAACGAGGAATGGAACAGAGACAGCAACCCAGGAGGGAGGAAACGGGGAGCCACAGGGACTGAGACAGACAGAGACAAGAAACTCAGAAAAGCAGAGCTGCAGACACCCAGAGAGACCCACTAAGGTAGAAGATGGCAGATACTGAGACTGGTTTCTAAGATGCCAAGAGGGAGGCCCAGGGAGACCTGCAGTGCACACACGCACAAAACCCCCAGGAGCACACACAGGTGCACATACAGCTTCCCTCGTGCGCACACACAGATCCACACCACCTCTGTCTCTCTCTCTCCCTTTGCTTCCCATCCGGGGGATGTCAGGTGGGCTTCCAAGAACAGCCAACGCTGCGGCCCTTTCCCGATCCCTCCTTCGCTTTCTGTCTGGCCTTAGGGCTCTTCTCTCTGAGCCTCCATTTCCCCTCTGTCCAGTATGGCAACCGCCAGCCACACCCAGCTAGCTGGAGGCGCCCTTGGGAGGGGCTACCAGGACTGAGCAAGGGAAATCTAAATTCCATTTAATTTGAACTGATGGAAATTTAAATAGCCACATGTGGCTAGTGGCTATGGGCTGGGACAGCAAAAACCCCCACCTACCCCGGCTTGTTTTGATAGTCCAACAAAGCCCCAAGGCTTGAGGGCCTAGCCCAGGGTTTGACATAGGGTTCGAGCTGCTTTATGATTAGCAGATGAAGAAAGGGACAGAATGAGAAGCTGAGAGAGAGAGAGAAGAAGGGACAGAGAGCTCTCCAGAAGTCCATGGGACATTTTGCCAGCTGGTTAGGTGATGAAAGTTGAAGTTTATGTAGAGGATGTGATGGCATAGCACATACATTGAGCACCACTGTCTACTAGCCGCCATATATGTCACTGATTGGCCGCCTCGCCTGCCCACCTGCACCCCGCCGTGCGACTTCTGAATTGTCCAGGGCTCACTGCATGCACTCAGCAGGTGTCTTTCAGGCAGTCCAGGAATGAGTCCGCACAAAGCAGAAGGTGAGGTGTTGTCCCTGTCCCCATCTGAGCCGAAGCCCTGGGCTTGACTCCCAGTTCCCCCACATAGAGGTTCTCTGACCTTCCAAAAGTTGCTTTACTTCTCTGTACCTCTTGTTCTTATCTGCACAATGGGGATGACAACCACGCCTACCTTACAGGACGGTTTTGAGGACTAAATGAGTCAAATGCTTGGGATGATAGCTGGGTTCATATGGGTTATTATCCTTGTACAGCTGTTGCTGTCACTGATGAAGAAACAGAGGAAGGGGTCTTCCTCTACTTCACTCTTTTATTTTTTCCTTCTTCATGATTTGGATCTTGTTGGCCATCACATGGATCAAGGGCTAAAGAAATGGCAAGGGCTTGGCGAGCATGATTTCCATTCGGCCCCTTTCAGGGAGGCCTCGTGGTCCCATTTTACAGGAAGGAAGGCTGAGACTCTTCAAGGGGGCGGTGTCCAGGGGTGGGGCACAGAGCTGGGGAGGGGGCAGAGCCCAGTGGGGACGCAGGTCTGTGTACTTAGAGCTGCAGCTCTGTCTCCTTTTTGGTTGCGATTTCTTGAGAATGAGAGCAGCTTACCTCTGTGGAGCGGTGGAGCCTGCGAGTCCGGCGTCCTGCTGGGATCTGACATAGTGGAGCGCTTAGAGCAGCTGGGCACCCTCTGAGTTAGGGTCAGCGGAAGATCTTTAGAAGCCCCGCGTTGAAAGAGATCATCACACCCTACCCCCCCAAGTGTCACTCAAAATAGGATCCCCGCTAAACTGCAAAAATAAATAAAAGCCCAAGAATATCCTGAATTTTCACCCTAGCTCACGATGCATGCCTAGGAAAAGGCAGATACCAAACTACTGAACACTCAGACATTGCCAGGGGCGGGGAAGGAATGCTTTGTCGGTGCCCTAAATTCATGCTTAATTGGACTCTGGACATTGGGCACTGCTTCAAGATATGGACTGTTGATTTCCACTGGGCAGAAGAGGACCCCGAGGCTCTAAACTGGGCACTATCTTGCCCCAAATCACACAGCTGGTAAATTGCCCAGCTCTTATTTAAACCCAGGGCTCTGTGGACATGGCAATAAAATCATGGATAGTAACCACAGCAGCCCAACAGACAGTACTGAGCACAGTGAGCATGCCAGGCCCTGCTATGCACTTTACACTCAACTTACCTTCCTTCCTTCCTTTCTAAATAATCTCCGCACCCAATATGGGACTTGAACTCATGCCCTCAAGGCCAAGACTCGCATGCTGCATCGACTGAGCCAGCCCGGAGCCCCTACACTTGGTCTTTCATTAACTGAGAGGTCATATTGTCCATCTCACAAGGGGCTCAGAGAAGGCAGATCAACAGTGGGCAGACCTTGACAGAGGCTGACAGTGAGCCATCTGGAGTTCATCGTGGCCCACACGTCCTTGGAGAGCATGTTTGGGGAGGTGGGGCGAGCGCAGGGACTATGGAGCGTTAGGAGCCCTACCTCCTTCAGGCTCTGCCCACATGCCACCTTGTCAGTGAAGCCTCTCTTATCAGTCTCTGCAAATTTCAGTCCCCGGCCCTGGCAGTCCCCTTTCCTGCTTCATTTTCCTCCGCAGCACCTGCTACCATCCATCACTGTTTTACTTATTCAGCATTTATTTTCTGTCCCCACCCCCACTAGAAAGTAAACTCCATGGGGGCGGGAGTTTTTCGTTGTTTGTCCACAGCTGGTCCTGGCACCAAGAACAGTGCCCGGCACACAGCAGGCACTCCATAAATGCAGTAGAGTGAATGAAGACTGGGAGCGCAAGGCAGAGGAGGCAGAGTTCAAAGGGCTTCTCTCCCAGGGTCTAGGGCACCCCACTTCCCGGTCCCTTCTAGGGCACCCCCACTCCTGGCCCCGTCTGATGTCTCCTCTCTGCCCCCAGGACCCCCGAAACAAGCACAAGTTCCGTCTGCACAGCTACAGCAGCCCCACCTTCTGTGACCACTGCGGCTCCCTTCTCTACGGACTGGTGCACCAGGGCATGAAATGCTCCTGTGAGTCTATGCTTGGGGATCCTGCCGGAACCTGGCGCTCCGGGGCCCCTTTCAGAGCGCAGTGTCTGGGTTTCTCCGGGTAGGGCTGGAGGATGGAGTCTGGAGTTGGGCGGGGCCGGACGCCCTACCTCCGGTTCTGTCCCCGCAGGCTGCGAGATGAACGTGCACCGGCGCTGTGTGCGCAGCGTGCCCTCTCTGTGCGGGGTGGACCACACGGAGCGTCGTGGGCGGCTGCAGCTAGAGATCCGAGCACCAACGGCAGATGAGATCCACGTCACAGGTGAAGCCCGGCTCCTGGGTCTGGTCCCACCCTTCTGCCCCAGGAGGAAGGGCCCAAGGGGTTCAACTGCGGCGACCCGCCCAACCCTCCAGGGAGGGCCACGCCCCCTGCGGGTCACACCCACACTCCTGACCCCACCTGCAAAGGCTGAGCACCGCCCCGGCCGCGCCAGTCCCTTCCAAATGCTCCTTCCAAGTTGACTCTTGAAACTTTGAGCCTTTTTGTTTGTTTAAGATTTTATCTATTAGGGCGCCTGGGTGGCTCAGTCGGTTGGGCGTCTGCCTTCGGCTCCGGTCAAGATCTCAGGGTCCTGGGATGGAGGCCTACATCCAGCTCTCTGCTCTACGGGGAGTCTGCTTCTCCCCTTCTTCTCTCTCAAACAAATAAATAAAATATTTTAAAAAATTATTTGAGAGAGAATGAGAAAGAGAGCATACAAGCAGAGAGAAGGACAGAGAGAGAGAGAAGCAGACTCCCTGCTAAGCAGGGAGCCCGATGTGGGGGCTCAAACTCCAGGCAGGACCTGAAGGCAGATGGCCAACCGACTGAGCCACCCAGGCACCCCCTTTCAGCGTCTCTTAATGGCCACTCTAAATCAAGGTCCTTGAGAGGGAGGGAGGAGAGAGAACCTGATTCGGAGGGAGGTTTGGGGTTACTATTGGCGATATGCCCAGGCCAGGGTCCTCATTCTCGGACCTCAGGGAGGAGGGGGCTCTGAGTCTGAGTTCTGGGTCCCTGGCTGGGGACAGGTCTTTAGGCTGTCTTCTGGATACTGGAGAGGTCAGGCCAAAGACGCCTGGGTCGTGAGAAAGGCAGAGAGCTTGGATTTTTGATGGCCAACTGGGGAGACTTTGGGGCCTCTTCCTGGATCTGTAACCCTGTCTACCCTCCTTCACTTCTCTCAGTTGGTGAGGCCCGTAATCTCATCCCAATGGATCCCAATGGTCTGTCGGATCCCTATGTGAAGCTGAAGCTTATCCCAGACCCTCGGAACTTGACAAAACAGAAGACCCGGACGGTGAAAGCCACACTAAACCCTGTGTGGAACGAGACCTTTGTGTTGTGAGCCTCGGGTGCAGGGATGCTGTAATGGCTGGTAGAGAAGGATCTGAGGGTCTTGGTGGCCCACAAGACCCCAGAGAGCAGATGGTGGGAGGTGTTAGGATAGAGGGAACCCGAGAAAAGGGCAGAGAAAGGTGGTGGGAGAGGGAATGGAGTGACTGACAGAGAGGGGTGGAGTTATAGAAGCCAATAGAGAGAGATCTGTGCATTTAATATCCATCAAAGCCCACAACTTTAGAGTGAGACAGATATGGAGGGTTCCGAAGAAGAGACACAAACCCAGAGAGACACACAGACAGAATGCAGGGGGGTGGGGTGTAAGCAGAGGGCTGGTGGGTGGGTGGCAGGAAGAGAAAGAGAAGCCAATCAATAGAAAGACAGAAGGACAGAGACCCAGAGGAAGGAGCGGCCACAGAGACTCAGGAGAGAGATCTGGAAAGAAAGGACAGGACGCAGGGATGGGAAGGAGCCAAGAATGTGGGAGGAAGGGAGAGAGACTGAGCGCTGTCTAGATGTACTCAGGGTCCAACTATTGGGGAAGACCCCCTTTGGGAGGGTCCAAGATGACAGGACAGTTTAGGGAGCAGGAGTAGACCCTAGCTCATCCCAAAAGGACTTGTGTCCTCCTCCAGGACCAAGGATAGGGAAGCAGGGGAGCGGGGAGCTGGACCCTCACTCCGCCCCACCCTTCCCGCAGCAACCTGAAGCCAGGGGACGTGGAGCGCCGGCTCAGCGTGGAGGTGTGGGACTGGGACCGGACTTCCCGCAACGACTTCATGGGTGCCATGTCCTTCGGGGTCTCGGAGCTGCTGAAGGCCCCGGTGGATGGCTGGTGAGGGCGGGGCAGGGTCGCAGCTGTGCCTCTGCGTCTAGGTCTGTGTGTGGTCTCTCTCCTCCGGACAGCCGCCTCCTGCCTCCCTGCCCTTCTCTCTCCCTCCTCCCCTGTCCCCACCCCCACAAACCCCGTCTCCCCGCATCCCATCTCTCTCTCCTTAGTTCACTCTTTCTCTCTCCATCTCTGTGTCTTTCTTTCTGTGTCTCTTTTCCCCCTCGGGTGCATCCCCACCAACCCTCAACCCCGCCCCCACCCCCATCCCACCTCCGGCCCGCTCTGGTCTCCGTCTGTGTGTCAGGTACAAGTTACTGAACCAGGAGGAGGGCGAATATTACAATGTGCCGGTGGCTGACGCTGACAACTGCAGCCTCCTCCAGAAGTTTGAGGTACTCGGGCCCCACTTCCCCCAGGGGGAGTCCAGCCCCGCACACACAGTTCTGAGCGGCTGGGTGCCCAGGGGTCCTGGGACTACAATTCCCAGAAGGCCCTGGGGAATCCTCCTGCTTTTCTAGGGGACTCTTGCCCCAGGGTATGACGGGAATTAGAGTTCCTATCCATTCCCATGGCTTGGGGCTTTGGAGTCCCCTCCCTCTGTTTTAGGGCAACCTCCTACCTCTCTGGGGCCTCTGACTCTGGCTTTCTTCTCCCCCAGGCCTGTAACTACCCCCTGGAACTCTATGAGGTGAGTAGAGCTCAGGCCTGGAACGGAGACAGTTTCATTCCTGTGGTCTGCTTATCTCTTCCCAAGTCTCCCTCCCCTGGTATCTGGCCGGGCACAGACGTGCTTGCTGAGTTAAACCTAACACCCCAAAGGGGAACCTGACCCTTAAGCAAGTCCCACAGTGACAGATACTTAAATTCCAGGATGATGTACTGTATCAGAGGTGCCCCAGGCCACAGAGAAGCCTAGAGGAGGCACCAGGCCAGCCTGGGGTATGGGGATGGCCAGGGAGGGACTTCCCTGAGGAAGCTACACCTGACGGATCCTTGAGTTTTTCTGTTTATCTCTGTGGCCTTCTCTCTTCCATTCGTTTTCTCACTCACTCACACCTATTTCCTGAGGTGTCGCAGAAGCTAAAACCTGTTCTCGGGTAGAATCAATCCATTCCCTGGGGAGCTCCAACTTCAAAGTAGGAGAAAGTTACATAGAGAGACATGCCCCAGGAACGAATGGGTTTGGTAATGGAGGTAGTAGCCTCAGGCCCTGGGGAGTACTGGAAGCACAGCCTGGGAGAGCCAGAGACAGCTTCCTAGGGGGGTGGTGAATCCAGTAGGAAGTGTAGGATTTTCCAGGCACAGGAGGGGGAGACCAGATTTCAAGGCTGAAGGATGGAAAACCTTCCAGGCAGAGGGAAGAGCAGTCACAAAGGCCCTGTGGTAGGAGCAGGCTGGGAGTATTCCAGCAAGGAGGACAACGGGGCTGAAGGGGGACAGGGTGTGGAAAAGTAGGAAATTAAATCAGAGAGGGAAGGGGTGTGACTTGTCATTCACTGGAAGGATTGTAGCTTTTAAACTGGGTGAGATGGGGTGGGAGGGTGGGAGCATCAAATGTGGCCAGAGGTGGTTTCCGTCTGAACAGGACAAGGCTCTGTGTGGAGAATAGAAATAGAGGCGGAAGGGGAAGCGGGGAGGAGGCTCTGTGGAGACTCGGGTGGGAAGAGCTGGAAGAAGCGGTGGGAAAGGTGTTCGGACTCTGGGTGTGCTCTCAAGGTTGCACAATAGGAAATGCACGCGTGTCCTGGAAGCCTTTCATCCATTCAGTGCCCTCTGCGCTGGGTGATGCTGAAGACACAAAAAGGAGGCAGACAGTCTCTGGCTTTCATGGATTTTGAATTCTGGCTCTGCTTTTTAATCTGTGTGACGTTGGGCAAGTTATTTGATATCTCTGTGCCAGTTTCCTCTTCTCAAAGTGGGGGTGGGGTAGGGGCACCTGGTGGGCTCTGTCCGCAGAGTGTGAGACTCTTGATCTTGAGGTTGTGAGTTGGAGCCCCACCATAGGTGTAGAGAGTACTTAAAAAATAAAAAATAAAACGGGGGGTGCTAACAGCTTATCTAATGGCATATAGTAATCTAAGTGTTATTTTAATGATCAGCCCTCCAGGCTGTGGAAAATGGGTGCAAGGTCTTTTGCCAAGAGGCGGGTCGGGGGGGTGGCAGAGACAACTTTCTTTTTCTGTCTCTCCCCATCCCTTTCGTTCTTGGATGCTGTCTCTCTCAGGGGCATCTCCTTTTCCCCATCTGGAGTCTGATTACCTCCGGATCTCTCCCCTTTCTCACAGCGCGTGCGGATGGGTCCCTCTTCCTCTCCCATCCCTTCCCCATCCCCCAGTCCCACCGACTCCAAGCGCTGTTTCTTTGGGACGAGCCCCGGACGTCTCCACATCTCTGACTTCAGCTTCCTCATGGTTCTAGGAAAAGGCAGTTTTGGGAAGGTTGGATTCCTGGGGTTCTGGGGGGAAAGGGGAGGATGTCTGGGGGGACATCAGATTCCTGGTCTTTGGGGAGGGACACTAGGCAACTGAGTCGCCAAAGAGGGCTTGATGGGACCCCTGAGTGCCCCTTTTGATGAGTGCTCAGCAAAACCAGAGTACCCGGTCCCCTGAGAGAGAGAGAGAGAGGAAGGACCGGGGATTCCCTTTCTCTGTGTCCCTGAAAGGGAGGGGCAGGAATCTGCATCTCTGGGTTCCTTCCCAAGATGGACTGGGCCTTTTGGACCTCTGTCCCTAGGTGATGCTGGCTGAGCGCAGGGGCTCTGATGAGCTCTATGCCATCAAGATCCTGAAGAAAGACGTGATTGTCCAGGACGACGACGTGGACTGCACCCTCGTGGAGAAGCGAGTGCTGGCCCTGGGGGGCCGAGGCCCGGGGGGCCGGCCCCACTTTCTCACCCAGCTGCACTCCACCTTCCAGACCCCGGTAAGAAAGGAGGGGTGCAGAGGCTGGCTCGGGTCAGACTTCCGCTCCGGGATTCTGAGACTACCGCCACGCCAAGAACCTTCCGCACGCCGAGTGGGCGTGGCCAGAGGGCTGGGGGTCTGGTGGGCGTGGCCTGCACCGGGGTCTCGGGTGGGTGTGGTCTGAGCAGAGGAGTTCGGAGTAGAGGGAGCGCGGGGGGAGGATGGCCTCCGAGCGGCTGCCAGCAGCTGGCTCCACGGAACGAGGTCGTCCGTCTCGGATTCTGAGGGAAGGTCTCGTCACACACGGGGCGCGCCCTCCAGTTCGTGGGGTGGGGCAGGGAGTGAGAACCGCCCGAGCTGGAGAGGGCGTGACTCCTTCAAAAAGCTCTGGAGAGACGTAGCCAGCGTCTTGGATTTCGAGAATCGTTATGGTGCATTGCAAGCGGGGCCGAAACACCGCTGGTTCCCTAACAGATGGTCGGGGTCGCGTTTGCACGCGGAGGTGCGCGGAGAGGCGGCGGCGCCCTGGGATTTCCGGGGAATGGCGGGCCGCGGTCTCCATTCGCAGAGGGCGGGGCCAGTTCGGAGTGGCGGGTGGAGGGGCAGGTGGAGATTCTGGGGGGCAGGCTGGAGTCCTCAGACCGCGCAGCCGCTCTGGGTTTCCGGTGCAAGTTTGTCTGGAGTGGGCGGGAACGGGTCCGTCCTACCCTCCGGTCCGCGTGTCCCCTCCGCTGAGCCACACCCCTCCGCCCGCCCCAGGATCGCCTGTATTTCGTGATGGAGTATGTCACCGGGGGCGACTTGATGTACCACATTCAGCAGCTGGGCAAGTTTAAGGAGCCCCATGCCGCGTGAGTCTTGGCCAAGAGACGAGGAGGGGTGGGGGAAAGAGGGCCCCAGCCTTTGACCTCTGGCTCCCCGGCCCCTTCTCCAGGTTCTACGCAGCGGAAATCGCCATCGGCCTCTTCTTCCTTCACAATCAGGGCATCATCTACCGGTGAGTGGTCTGGCCTTTCACTGGAGGCCAGCAGGTCCCTAAGAGGGAAAGGGATCCAACAGGCGGCTCCAGGAGCACCTGGCTGCCCAGTGGGTAGAGCGAGGGACGGGTGATCTCGCGGTCAATCGTGAGTTCAAGTCCCGCCTTGGGCGAAGAGCTTATTTTAAAAGAAAACACATAAACGCTTGCCGCCCCAGCTTCTGGGACTCCACCCTTCCCTCAACTCCTCCCCGTCCTGCCTCCCACCCCCAGGGACCTGAAACTAGACAACGTCATGCTGGATGCCGAAGGACACATCAAAATCACTGACTTCGGCATGTGTAAGGAGAACGTCTTCCCGGGGACCACGACCCGCACCTTCTGTGGGACCCCAGACTACATAGCCCCTGAGGTAACCTCCCTCTGCTGCTCCTTGCTGCCCTCCTTTGCCTGCTGGGGGTGGCTGGTTGTTTAACACTCAGAATGTGGGGGTCCTGACCCTGGGGTCTTTACCTGAGTCTTGGGGGGTCTAGCAGCAGGCAACGCAGAGGGGCCTGTGTGCCCCACATTCCCAGTGGGCAGAGCTGGGTCTCTGAGCTGGCAATGTGGGTGGCCAGGTAGGTGAGTGTGCTAACAGAGTGGGACCCACTGAGCTCCTAAGAATTCTCAGAGAGCAGGACCTGATACAGGACTATTCTAGACTATTCTAGAGGGTGGAGACAACTTCCAGTGTACTCTGAGTGGGTGGGGGCCGTCCCCCCAGAGCCCTGAGCTGTCCTCTGAATATTTCACATCGGGGGAGTATACTTTGACTTTGTTAAGGGACTGGAGCTAGTGATCTGACCATGTATAAGGAGACAGAGGGTCCTGACTTTTCTCAGTTGAGGGAGGAAGTGGTGTTGGTGGTGCCATTCTTAATCTCTCAGGGTGATTCAGCGCTAATGCCCAGGTAATCAGTGTCGATGGATTCAGGACCTGTGGAGATTTTGAAAAACACACACATATTTCTGACTGACCTATTGAGGCTGGAAGTCTTAGGGCTAGGAACAGCCTCCTAGATGAATCGTAAGTGCATCAGATTTAAAACTCTCTGGTCTCTGAAATTTAGCCCTTATTTACCCTCCCCTTAAGGAGAAGGTCTGGTTACCTAAATATTCGAGCTGGTTGGAACTTTTGACTTGGTCCTTAGATAGTCTTTATTTTGGGGACCAAAGGAATGTTCTACGTAGGTAAATTTTATATCTGAATTTTCCAAAAAGATGGAGCTCTGGCCTAAGTGTTCTGAGTGGGAAAGTTTGTGTTGAAAACACTTAACGTGGGTAGGGTTCCCAGGGGGCAAGGCCAGAAGGGGTCTTAGGCTTCTTGAAGTCCAAACCATGATTCCTTGACTCCCACCCTTCCTCACCAGATCATTGCCTACCAGCCCTATGGAAAGTCTGTGGATTGGTGGTCCTTTGGGGTTCTGCTGTATGAGATGCTGGCAGGACAAGTAAGCGAAGCCGGGTGGGGGGGGGGCGGGGGCGGCGGAGAGGCTGGCTTGGTTAAAGGCAGCACCACGTGGGACGCCCCCTGTCACAGGGCCTTTATCTCAAAGGAGCAGGTTAGGATGGGATGTCTGCCCTGCCTGGATCATGCTGTCCTTGGTCCTGAAGCATTATTTTCTCACAGGCCAGAGGTTCTTAAAACTTTCTTGGTGCCAAGGACCCCTTCTCAGAACAAAGTGTTTAAATACATGAAATAAAATAATAGGATTATAAAGGAAACCAATCGAATTGAAATGGCTATCAAAACAAAAATTTTAATTTAACAGTTCAGCCAGCTAGATAAATTTAATTTAAAGGTATACAGTTAAGTAAATATTAAGCACTGGGATGTGGACACGTATGTGATTTCCTGTTAATGAACTAAATAGTATTATCTCACAGTGACGGGAAATAACCAGGAAGGTCTACCAGTAATCTTGAAGTTGAGATGACTAACATTTTGAGAAATCTGCAAATCTAATGTGCTAAGAAAATATCTGTGATTTCTGTTGGTGATGAAGTCACAAGTACTAACACTGTGGTTTTTGCCTACATCTATACAGGAATGCTAAATTTCAGTTAGAGATTTTTAAAAAATAAGGATGTACTTTTTTCCCTGTTCAAGCTCAGGACCCCCTCAGTTGTATAAACAGACTTCCTAGACCCCACATGAAGAATCCTTGCCTTGGGAGGCGCCTGGGTGGCTCATTTGGTTAAGCATCCGACTCTTGATTTCAGTTCAGATCATGATCTCAGGGTCCTGTGTTGGGCTCCATGCTGGGCATGGAGCCTGCTTGGGTTTCTCTCTCTCTCTCTCTCCCTGCTCCTCAGTCCTCCCCTCCCCTGCTCCTGCAGGCTCTTAAAAACAAAAAAAAAAAAAAGAAAAAGAAGGAAAGAAAGAAAGAAAAGAATCCTTCCCTTGGTTTTGCTTTTCCTAATCCCAGAAGACTGGAAGCAACTCATTCAACCCAGAGAATGCTTTTACAGTTTTTTTACCTGCATTTTTATCTCTCTTCTATTTAAGCGACATATTGTCTAATTAATGTCCTGCTGATTTGCATAGCAGAGACAGAACGGCAAGGAGGTGCAGAGAACTGGTGCATCTGAGATAGGAAAGCGGAGAGCCTGAGAGAAAAGAGAGAAATCTTTGGTCACTTGGTCCAATTTTTCCCTAGGATGTTGGACAGGGGTGTTCGTGTTCATGCTGGGTGATGAGGGTGTGGAAGCTGGGGAGGGCCAGTTTGTCAAGTCTCTGACTCTATGCCTCTATTTTCTCAGCCCCCTTTTGATGGGGAGGATGAGGAAGAGCTGTTTCAGGCCATCATGGAACAAACTGTCACTTACCCCAAGTCGCTTTCCCGAGAAGCCGTGGCGATCTGCAAGGGGGTGAGAGCCCCCTGACCCCCAGAGTCTCCAGACAACCCCTGTGCCCCACAACCACCATCCTGGGCTTCCCATACAGTGGCTCTGTGCTCATTAGAAAAAGGCTCCCACCCCTGAAGTTACTGCCCTTCCATCTGCCGGAAAAGTTTGTATCATACAGAGATGTCATTAGAACACTGTTGGACTGCCCTGCTGTCACCTCTGGTCCAAGGATGGCCTCTAGCCTCCTCCCCCTGCAGCACCCACTCCCCAGCTCACTGCGGGCAGTGCTGGAAGGCCAGGGCCTTCTTCTCCAGAACCGGGTGGGTCAGGTGAACCTAACTCTTGCCACTTCTCTTCCTGTGGGATCTTGGGCCAGCCACCCAAACTCCGGGAGCCTGCCTCCTCTCCCGGGGTTATGGAGTTAGTGCAGGAGAAAGAGCCTAGCCCGTGGCAGCTTTTCAACAAGCATTAGCACCCTTCTGCTTCCGGCTCCTGTCTCCATTCTCTCTGACTGTCACTCTCCGGCTTCTGTCTCCTACCTCTGCCTCCATCTACATTCGATGGGGCTTCTTGTGTCTCCACCTTTTCTCTGTGTCCCTGGGGATCTCCATCGACCTCTCACATCTTTGTGCCCCTCTCTCTGGGTGTCTCTTTCCCTCTAACCCCCAACTCCCGTACACACATGCTCTGAATCTCTGTCCTCTTTCTGGAACTTTCCTCCTCTCTTTCTGAGTCTCCGCCTTCATATTGTGTCTTTTCCCCTCTCTCTGGGGGTTTGCCTGCTGAATCTCCATCTTTTCTTTCTGCATCTTATCTCCCACCTTCTCTGGGTCTCTGCCGGTCCCCTGGGTCGCTATCTCCCCCTCTCGGGCTCTCTATTCCCCCTTTGCTCTGGGTCTCCAACTGCTGTCTCTCTCCCTCTCCCTCCCTTCATCTCTCCTCTTCCTCTCCTTCTCTCTTTCCCTCCAACTTCTCTTTCGGGGATTCTTTGCTGTGCCCTTCCTCTTTCTGGGTTTCTTGCCCCTCATACCTTGATGCTATGATTTTCCTCTTTCTCTGTCTGTCCCCGGGTCTCTGGGTTTGGAGTTCATCCATCTCATTCTCATTTATTCTTCCCCATTCCTCTTTCCCCCCACCTCCCCCACTCTGTTCCCCCTTGCTCTCCTCTCTCTGGGTCTCTATGCTGTGTCTCTGTTCTTCTGTTTTCGTCTTTCTCTCTTGCTCGTTCTCTGTGCCTCCCTGTCTGGGACTCTGTCTGTCTGTCTGTCTCTGTATTTCCCACAGTTCCTAACTAAGCACCCAGCGAAACGCCTGGGCTCAGGGCCCGACGGGGAGCCCGCCATCCGTGCTCATGGCTTTTTCCGCTGGATGGACTGGGAGCGCCTGGAACGGCTGGAGATCGCGCCTCCCTTCAGACCCCGTCCGGTCAGCCACCTTGCGGGAATATTCTTGGCCCTTCGGGTTGGAGGGGGTTGGGGTGGTACCCAAGAGCTCCAGTTCCTATATGTGGAGGTAGGGTGGGGGTCCCTCTGTGGAGACGCCCTCACGGGATATGCAGAGGCTGTGAAGGATGTGCAGAGGTTCCAAGCGAGACAGGAGATGGACGCAGGGGACCCGGAGGGACACCCAAGGAGCGGAGAGAATTTCATCTTTCCCTCCCTGTACTCCCCTCAGTGTGGACGCAGCGGGGAGAACTTCGACAAATTCTTCACGCGGGCGGCGCCCGCGCTGACCCCGCCGGACCGCCTAGTTTTGGCCAGCATCGACCAGGCCGACTTCCAAGGCTTCACCTACGTGAACCCGGATTTCGTGCACCCCGACGCCCGCAGCCCCGTCAGCCCACCGCCTGTGCCAGTCATGTAATCTCTCCTGCCGCCACTAGGTGTCCCCACCGCTCCCTCCCCAGGCCGGCCTTAGCCCCCTGTTCACCCCCTTCCCACTCTAGATCTGCTCCCCAGCATTCTCGCCTCTGCCCTGCGGGGGCCAGGCGCCCCACCCCAGCGCTCCTGGCATTCTAACCTCCGTACAGCCTCTAGAGCCGCACCGCGTTCTAGGTTCTGCTGTGCTGAGCCCTGGATTCTCCCGCACCTCAGTGTTCGGGACTCTGCTCCACCAGGTTCCAGAAAGGCCACCACTCTCCCAGTTCCACGGGGTTCTAGACTCCATTTCGGTAGAATCTGTGCCTCTCGTTTTTCTTTTTTTTTTTTTTTTTCCCTCCTCTTTTCCTTCTTCCTTTCTTTTTCTTTTTCATTCATTCATTCATTTATTTATTTATTTTCCTTTCTGGGAAATAGTCTCAAGGGGTGGGCTGTTCCAGACTTGGATTCCAGAATAACCCCCCACCTCCGAACTCCCCCAGCCCATTCTGGAGTAAGTGGGAGGCTGTGCCCCCATGCTCCAGTACTCCTCTTCTACACTCTAGGGATTCCTGGGATGTGTGAAGGATTCTTACCCCAGCTGTTCTCAATCAGCTTTTGTTCTAGACGCCCCCACCCTAAACCCATCACTGCTCGCCTGCCAGGTGCATGGCTCCAGTCCTGCTCGGAACCCCTCCTCCCTCCTGCTCTCCCCCTCCCCCGCCCCACCTAGTGCCTGCCACTCTCCTGGACTCTCTCCTCCTCCCTGCGCCCACTCTTCTCTTTGGCTCTCCCACCCGGCCACAGCTGCCGGAGAATAAATTTGGGATGCTGATGCTGAAGTGTTTGGATGTTTTCTTCTAAGCGCGCAGAATGAAGGGGGTGTGGAGGTGGGCCGGTGACTGTACACGGAAACACACACACACAGGCTGGGGGGCGGGGCGGCAGAGAGCGAGGGAAAGCACAGAGACCCAGAAAGTGGGGAGAAGGTAGCCACAGCGCCAGAGAGAAAGAGCAGAGGCCGGGCGTGGGGGGAGGCGTGAGTGTTGCTGCCAGGACCCAAGTGGGCACGTGCACAAGGAGGTAGAGGTGGACACACAGACCACGGGGAGTGTCAGGGAGAGACCCCCGGCCCAGAGACAGGCATGCACCTACTCACCCAGAGCCCTACCCAAGCTCCCAGACCCACACTGAGACCCAGAGACTGGGGCGGGGGAGGGCGCAGTCCTGAGAGTGGAGATCAAAGGCTGGCGTCCTATTGAGAGACCTGGAGACTCCACGATAGAGAAACCAGACGAGCAGAGCCCACGAACTTAAGAGTCAGCCAGCGAGCCAGAAGACGGGCCTCTTTGCCTTGACCCAGTTGCGGGAGTGGGGGTGGGGGGTGTGCGCGCAAAGAACAGTCCCAACAGACTACAGTTCCCAGCAGACACCGCGGCGGACCCTTCCCCCCAAGTGCGGCCCCTCACCGCCAGGGCTGATGGAAAATGTAGTCCCGGACCCTGGCAGGCCAGTTGAATGGTGTGTCTGTGTCTGTGTGTTTGGAGGGGACTGAGCCCCAAAGCTTCGCAGGCTCCCTCGGGGAGCCCCGGCATCTCTTCGTCTCTGCAGGCTCTTGGGTTTCCGGGACTCAGCCCAGTTGGATGCTGGGGCTCCTCTTGGATCCCACAGCACCGTAGCAGTAACCCCCGTGCTCTGCCCGCTGCCCCCAGCCCCCGCTCCGACCCTCGGCGGGCGGCCTGCCCCTTTAAGAGTGGCCCCGCTGACATCACGGCGGGGGGGGGGGGGGGCTGGCCCGGCTCCCGGCTCCGCGGCGGCTGCAGGACCCGGCTCCGCTCTGCGCCCGCCTGCTGCTCTGGGGACCCCGGCCCGGGACGCCCCCTCCCGCCTCCTCCAGCCGCCCAGACCCCAGGCTCCGCCCCAGGCCTGGCCAGAGCCCCAGTCCTTATCAGGGGAGCCCCAGGATTGCCCCTGTTCTCTCTCCTTCTCAGGGTCTCTCTCTCTCTCCCCCTGTCTCTCTCTCTGTCTGTCTCTTTCCCTAGCTCAAGGTGTCTGGGTCTCAGCATCTCTCAGCCCAGGGCCTGTGAGCGTCTCCCTGTCTCTCTGTCTCTCTCTGACCTGTCCACTTCCAGAGCCCCAGAAGCTGAGCCCGAGGACAGCGGGGTCTTAGACCTGATCTCTGCCTCTCCTTCTCTCTCCCTCTGTCTCTCTATCTCTTTCAGGCCCCTTCTGTGTTTCCCCCAGTCGCCAGACCTGCGAGTCTCAGCATTCCTCAGCCTCGAGGTCTCGGTGGGAGTCTAGATCCTCGGCTCTGTCTGTCTGCCTCTCTGGGTGCCCCTGCCCCTCTCGGGCTCTCTGCCTCTGTTTCTATTCTCCTTCCCTCCCTGCCTCCCCCATTCTCAAGGCCCATCTCCCTCCCTCCTTGCAGCCTCCCCCTCCCTCCCCGCCCCTCCCCTCCTCCGCAGTAGCCAATGAGCGGCCGCGGGTCCCAGCTCCCGGCGCCGTCCGCCGAGTGAGGCCGCGGGCGCGGGGGGTGGGGGGTGGGAGGCCGGGAGGGGGCCGGGACGCCGGGCTCCGGGGCGGGGGCGGGGGGCGCGGGCACCGGCGACCCCGGTGGCGGCGGCGGCGGCCGGGGGAAGCCGCGGGGCCGGTCATGCGGCTGCGGGGCCCGCGGCCCGGAGCGTGCGCCCAGCCCTGAGCGAGGTGAGCGCGAGGGGAGGGTCCTGGAAGGAGTGGGGGCTCCTCTTGAGGTGGCTGGGAGCCGGGTTTGGGGCTAAAAGAGGTCTGAGTGGCCCCGGGGTGTAGGATTCTGGCGGTCAGGACGCCCGAGTTCGGGAGGCAGTGGGGTTGGGGGTGAGGGGACATGGGGCCTAGGGAATCCGGGAGGACGGGGTCCTAGAGTCCTGGAGTGGGGCTCCAAGACTCTTCATGTCCGAGTCTTAGGGACCGTGGGCCCTGAGGAGGGTGCCGGCCAGGTCCTTGAGGGAGGCGGTCCTGGAGGAAGGGGGGAGGGCCCGGGCCCGGTGAGAGCAGGACATGTCTGAGAAGGGGTCCCCAGAAACGATTGGAGGGAGACGGAGTTTGGACTTGGGGCTTGGAGAATGGGACTCCTGGGATCCGAATCCCTGAATCCAGGAGAGGTTGCATTAGATAAAGAAGGGAAAGAAGGTGGCTCCAGGCCTGGGGGAGGGTCCCAAAGGAGGAAGGGCTGGAGGAGAATGAGGCGATCTGGGCGGGCCATTTGGAGTGAGACGGAATCGGAACGAAGAAGGAGGGGGTTTCAAAGGGGAAGTAGAAAGGTGTCAAGGGGCAAGGTCCCAGCTGGGAGTCCAAGGAGCCCCGGGAGGGGGGCGTGTGCGGGGGGAGCTGAGGTCAGCTACTTGGGACCAGGCAATCGGGGTGACTGGGTTTTCGATGCTTGTTTCCGAGCTGAGCGGGCTGGAACGGGAGGCAGCTGGCGGTCAAGCCTTGGGACGGGGGATGGGAGGAAAAGCTGGTCAGAGCTCTGCCAGACTCGGATCCCCGACTCCTCCAGGAGGCTGGGGGGTGGGGCCTGGTGGGATGGGGGCTCTGGATGCTGAGGTGTGGGGGAGGGGCGAGGGTGATGAAAGTTGTCTGACTCCAAGATCCTTACTGGCATGGGGCAGAGTTTCAAGGCTCTGAGAATTCCGATTAGTCAGGTGTCAAGTCTTGGCTGCATTGTTGGGGAGTGTTTTCGGGTCTTAACCTTCATAGTTAGAAAAGATGATGTCGGGATCACTGGTATTCAGGGATGGTCTTTGGCTGAGATAAGATGAGATAGAATGGAGATGCCAAGTTGAGTCCCGCAAATTGGAATTGTGCAGTTTGGGGAAAAGTTGTGGGGGAGGTCAGGGTGGTAGATAAGAGATTAGGAGCTCCTGGGTTAGAATCTCTAGATATTTGACTGGAATTTGCAAGGCCACAGCTATGAACTGGAGATCTCTTGTTTTGAGGGCCTGGTGTTAGAGGGGCCAGAGTTCCAGGCTAGATGTTGAAAAGAGTTTTGTAATTGGGAGTCCTAGCATGTAAGTTGGAGTCCAAAATCTGTGATAGGGAATTTGGGGATCTTGTGACGGCCAAGGGGGATGAGGAGGATGAGGATCCTGGGCTTCCTGATTTGGGATTTTAGGGTTCAGAGCCCTGATCCCTAGTTTCAAGGATGACCTAGGGTACTCTGGTTAGAGTGCTGAGTTAGAGGGGAAGGGGATCCCAGATCATGGTTTTGACTTTCTGGAATCTCTAGCCAAAATCCAGGCTCCAGGTCTCAGGGTCCCAGTGTCCTGGGATCCAGGACAGTCCCAGCATCCTAAGTTCAGGGCCCTGCCTGGATCTGGGATGGGGGGGATTCAGGTTCTGAAACCTGAGATCTGAGTCATGAGCCACAATCTCAGATTGAGGTACCAAATTAAGGTCAAGGCACAGGATCAAAGTTAGAAGGTCATGGGGTCACAGTCCTGGCGTTAGGCTTAACTATTAAAGGTCAAGATGAGAGTCCAAGGCTTTACACCTAGGTTTAGACCTCTGCTCAGGTCTTGGTTAGTAGGTCCTTGATTAGTAGGACCCTTAGGGTTCTGGTTAGTGACCTACTTAGGGGATTTCTGATAGTTATTTAGCAGAGTCCAAAAGAAAGGGGCCAGGGTGCCAGGAGGCAGGATTGGGGAAATCTGCTTGGTTCCAGTATTGAAATGCCTGATCAGTGTAATAGTTTTTGAGCCCAGGCTCAAGGTTAAGGATTCTGGGGAGGTCTGGTGTCTAGGGTTAAGGTCTCTGGTCAGGGTGCAAGGTGAAGTCTGGAGGGCCTACTTCTGGCATTGAGAATATGGAAACTGAGTTCCTATTCATAGTTATGAAGTTTGGGACCCAGGTCCAGCACATGGTTGGAGCTAAGGTTCAGTCTGTGGGTCTGGGCTGCAGGTTAGGGTTGGAAGGCTGAACCTGGGGTCGGGGATCCAGTGTGGTGTCTCTCATCAGGACCAAGAGCCAGAACACAAGTGTCAGATTTGGGAAGACCAGTTCTGGGGTTGAGAGTCAACAGTTGTCACCGGTTCAAATCCAGAAATAGGGTCATGGGTCAGGGCACAGAGGTCAGATTTGAGAAGTTTTTAGTTTTTAGTTTTTAGAAATGGTGTCTCTGGCTTGGGGTCGGTGTCCCAGGTGGCTGCATGGAGTTGGGGACTCTAGTTAGTCCCAGCAGGCTCTCCAAGGCCGCAGCTGCTTCTCGCGTCTCAGGCCCCGCAGGGCGCCCCCCGCCGCTGAGGATGAGTCACTGCAGCAGCCGCGCCCTGACCCTGCTGAGCAGCGTGTTTGGTGCGTGTGGCCTGCTGCTAGTGGGCATCGCGGTCAGCACTGATTACTGGCTGTACATGGAGGAGGGAACGGTGCTGCCGCAGAACCAGACCACGGAGGTCAAGATGGCGCTGCATGCCGGCCTCTGGCGAGTCTGCTTCTTCGCAGGTAGAGCCCCTACCTGTCCTCCACTCAACCGTCCTTGCCTTGCCTGGGGCCCGAGGGTCCTTATCCACACTGCCATCCCTCGGGTTCTAGAAATCCAGAAACTGACCCTGTTTCCTCTCCTGGGGAGGCAAATTTCTACCCGGAGACCCAATTTCTAGCCCTTTATTTCCTGGATCTACGAGCCCCCATGCCGAGCCCCTAATCCCTGGAGAGTCCCCAGTTAGAAGCAAAAGTCTAGCATCAGAGCTTGTCCCCTGAATAGTTCCAGTGTTGAATGGGCAGAATAAAGAATCCATGCCCTCCAGCGACCACAGAGACCCTCCTCCTTGGAACCCCCGCTCCGGCCAATCCTCTTTAGGGATTCAGAGGTCCTGGCCCACAGCCCCTCCTCATTGGGACCCGGGGTTCCAGACCTGTCCTCCATCCATGGGTTTCCAGGGAAGCTCAGAAGAGGAGCTCCCAGACCTTCTGTGACCCGCGGCCCCCCCCCCCAAGAATAGTATAGACAGTAATTCCTGGATCAAGCCTCATATACCCATGCCGGGGTCTCCCCACGGTGCCATCTGCCCCTCATCCAGCTTTGCTTTCGATTCTTACCCCCAGGCCGGGAGAAGGGTCGCTGTGTGGCCTCGGAGTATTTCCTTGAACCAGAGATCAACTTGGTGACGGAAAACACGGAGAATATTCTGAGTGAGGGGGAGCAGGGGGCCTCGACAAAGGGGGGAGTCCTCGGAGAAAGGGCAGCACCAGGAAAGGGGTGGGGTGGAGGGGAGGAAGTGCAGTGGTTGGATGAGGAGGAGGAGGCAGGTTGAAGGAGCTGGGGGGCCTGGGCAGTGGGTGGGGTCCACAGGAAAGGGGTGGGGTCAATTTAAAGGGTGTGGCCTGGGTGAAAGGGTCAGCAATGAGGTATCGGAAGGGGAGGAGCCACATAAAGGGGCGGGGCCGTGCAAGGGGCGTGGCAGGAGTCTCCCCCTCACCCCTTGTCTCTCTCTTTACCCTTCCTTCAGAGACAGTGCGCACGGCCACCCCATTCCCCATGGTCAGTCTCTTCCTAGTGTTCACGGCCTTCGTCATCAGTAACATCGGCCACATCCGCCCGCAGAGGACCATTCTGGCCTTCGTTTCTGGCATCTTCTTCATCCTATCCGGTGAGCTCAAGGAAAGGACTTAGGGCCCGGAGACTGTTTTCGGTTCTGGGAACCTGCAGTCCCTCCTCCACTAAGAAAGCCACTTCTTTGCTGTGTGACCCTGGAGGGTTTGCCCAACCTCTCTGATCCCCACTTGTCTTCTCTGTGAAATGGAGATAGCAATACCCATCTCACAGCTTGCTGGGGAGACCCCATTCTAGCGAATATTTATTAGGTGCTTATTAGGCTCCGTTCTGATGCCACAGCCCTGTGAGGGGAATGCTCTTACAGTCCCATTGTGTGGATGTACGAACAGTCACTGGCTCAGGGCCGCGCAACCACGGAGACACAGAGCTGGGCTCACACACTTGCCATTCACCCCTCCTGATATTTTAGCAGTTAACGTACATCAAAGCTCTTTATTTCCTGTGCGACATTTTATTTGAAAAATTTTCAGACAGAAAAGTGGAAAGCATTTTGGAGTGAGCTCCCATGTACCCACCGCTCAGAGTCAACCCTTACCCTGTGACTAGACTGGCTGTGTCCTGTGTCTGTCCATCTGTCCGTATTCCAGCCCACCTTATTATTACGTCTTTATGTGGTTCAGTGTGAGTTGTGTCATACGCTTCCCCCTGAATATGTCACCTTGTGTGTCATTAGCTATTTTTCAGTCTTTGTCTTTTCTTTTATCTTTTGAGAGACGAGGCTCTTGTGCGTGAGCGATCTCACACCTTCCCGTAACATCTCTGCTGCTGAGTTATTATTAGAACTCACTTGATAAAACGGGGGCACCGAGGCCCACAGTTGTGCAGGGAGTTGCCCAAGACACCAGCCTGAGCTGGAGGGGCGGGGGGGAGTAAGTGAGGGCGACCAAGTGTCCTGAGCTCCCGAGCAGAGTTCTTTCTCAGGCGTCACCCGCCTCCAGTATCAGCACTATCTGGTCCAATTCGGTCCCTCTCGGCTCCGGTCAGGCCAGGTCAGCCCAGGCCTAACACATTTAACTCATCCATCCGGTCCATTCTGACTCCGTTCAAATTAATTCAACATCATTTCATCAAACTCCGGTCACGTCCTTTTCATCCAGTTGGTATTTTATGAACAAACCCCGCTTCCAGCTGGCTTCCATACTGTCCCTTGGGGCCTGCACCCGGGTCCCTCTCTAGAATTGGCAAAGGGTTGAACGTCCCTGCTCCTCAGCCAGCTAAACCTCCCCTGCACCTCCAGCCTAACCTGACGAGACCTTTTCTAGAGAAACAAGGGTGCAACCTCCCAGTAAACTTGAATCGTGGCGTGTGGAGCTAAAATAAGACACGTACGATATCACCATCCCAGAGCGTCGGACTGGAAAGGTCTCATCATTTTTCATACGGAAAAATAGTGGCCTAGAGAGAGAGAAAGTGGGACAAGGGTAGGAAGCAGGGAGACTCTAATTCAATCCACCCAAAACACTAGAAGGAAGATCCCATTGTTTGCTGTTCCCAGAAGGGGCAACATAGCTCCGTGGAGGAGGGGCTGTTGGCCCAGAGGGTGTTCCCGTCCCAAAACCCAAACTCACGCTCCCGCGATCCTCTAGGCCCTGACTTCCCAGGGCCACACTGAGGATCAATGGTGCTGTCAGGACTGGATGTCAGGCCTCTGATGTAACGATAGAGAAATTTAGGGGGATTGAACCCTACTTCCGGAAGCCCTTCCTCGAGTTAATGTCATAGACTATGGCCCGTGCGTCCCACTTCAAGGAGTCTGTCATGTGCTTTCGTGGTTCCGAGGTGTAGTGACTGACGGTTCATGCTATTGTGAACCTAGAAAGACCTGGGTGCGAATTCTTCCCCTTAACTGCATAGGCTCTCCATGGTCCTGAAACCCTATTTTTCTAATGCCGGATTGTTTCATTCAGCCTAGCATGTGGGTGATTCTTGCCTACTGTGCAGTCCTGAGACAGAGGTGGGGTGAGAAAGGAGAGGGAGTGGAAGTTGAATTACAGAGAAAGGAGAGGGGAAATGAGCCTTCGTTTGTGGAGTTGTCTAGAGGACAAACCCTGGTCTAGGGTTGGCAGACCTGTGTAGGGCCAAAGAGTAAGTATTTCAGGCTTTGTGAGCTGTAGGATTATAACATGAAAGGAAGCAGAGGTGCAGCAATGGGTGTGGCTGTGTCCCAGTGACCCTGCCTATGGGCCCTGGAATTTGAATTCCATGTAACTTTCATGACCACGAAATGTTCTTCTTCCTTTGCTCCATCCTCCACCCCAGCCCCCTGCACCTTTTACAGATGTAAAAACCATGCTTAGTTCGAAAACCATACAAAAACAGGTGCCGGGATATGTGGTCGTTTGCTGACCCCTGGTCTCCTCACAGATGTGAAGGGCTGACCCCGTGCTCAGTAAAAACGTACATTTGTTCATTCATAGTTGTAGTGACAGCAGCAACCAAAATAATACACACTGGGTTGAGTGCCATGGTTGGAGGAAGCTCTAAGTGCTTTACGTGAGGTCTTTGTCTTTATTTCATAAGGCAGATGTCGTTGTTGTCATTCTCCAGGTGAGGAAGCAGAAGCACCCAGAGGTTAAGTTACTCCACGGTAGAAGCAGGATTCCCACCCAGGCCTTCCCTGTGGCAATATACTGTCCCACCACAATTAAATGTCATCAAAAAATGGGGGGCCTGGTTGGCTCAGTCAGTAGAGCATGCTACTCTTGATCTCAGGGTCATGAGTTTGACCCTGACGTTGGGTGTAGAGATTGCTTAAAAAATAGGATAGTAAATAAGAAATAAAAAATTTTAAAAAATTATAAGAATGGGGGGGCACCTGGATGGCTCAGTCTTTTGAGCATCCAACTCTTGATCTCACCTCAGGTCTTGATCTCGTGTCATGAGTTCCAGCCCTGCATTGGGCTCCATGCTGGGCGTGGGGCCTACTTGAAAAAAAATCATAAAAAGGAAAGAGATTTATTTATATTTTCAGGATTTTATTTATTTGGGAGAGAGAGAGAGCAAGAGCATGAGAGGGAGAAGGGTCAGAAGGAGAAGCAGACTTCCTGCTGAGCTGGGAGCCTCATGTGGGAACTCGATCCTGGGACTCCAGGATCATGACCTGAGCTGAAGGCAGTCCCTTAACCAACTGAGCCCCCCAGGCACCTGAAAAATGAATGAGATTTAAAAGGAAAGGGAAGGATGACAGTACCTGCATCTTAGATCTGGGAACAGAATAATCTAGTCTAATCAGTTCATGTTCCCAAGACTTGGAGAGAGAGACAGGAGTTGCCTAAGGGCTGGTAAATAGTGGCATTGGCATTCACTTCTGAAGAAAGCGGTGGGAGGGTTGGGGCAGAGGAGGAACAGGGTCACACCTGGGATTTAAGCATCTTCAGGGATGGACGAGCAGGAAAGAGATGGGAAATGGGCAAACCGAGGAGGAAGCTTATGCAGTGGTCTGGGCAAGAGTAGCTGGGGCTGGGGCTGGAAAGATAAAAGCAAGTGGATGGCTTTGACAGAGAAGGATATTGACAGAAGAATCAATGGAACCAGATGACTGGCTGGATGTGGTTGGCGAGAGAAGCAGGGAGGAGGCTGGAATGACATTGACTCTCTTTTTCCAGGTCAGAAGAAGCATGTTTCCCATGCAAAGCCTGTCCTAACCTCTGCCCCCAACACGTCCTTTGCGTGTGCACTTTCATTTGCTCCTCGAGCATTTACACAGACATCCTACATTGTGTGGCCCTGCACTGAGCGCTGACTATGTGGCTGAATCCTAGGTGAACACTCACATCCAGTCGATGACAGAACAGCTCCAGCCACCTGTCCATCAAAACTACACACCTGCTTCAATCCCACTGCACGTGTGCAAACTCTCCGTGCTAGCTTACAAGGTTTTCTAGGATTTAGTTAATGCTCAGATCTCTGACCTCATTTTCTAACCCACTAACACTCTCTCCGTTGCTCACAACCTCAGCCACACTGGCCTCCTTCTAGTCCTTGAAAACGCTCATCTCAGCCCCACATGAGGACTTTACACTCACTAGCCCTCCATGCCTGGAAGTCTCTTCCCCCGATACTCAAAGGGCTCAAACTTTCTCTCTTCAGGGTTTCTTTCTGTGACCACAGTATGTAATGTTGCCTTGTCCCCATTATACCATCACTTTGCACGCTTTGTATTTGATTCATAGTTATTGTCATGTTACAGGTTTTCCGTCTCCTGCTAGAATGTAAACTCCGACAAATATGGACCTTTACAAGCATGCTCTCATTTGTGTCTGCAGAGCCTAGATGAACTGAAGTATTTGTATAAGAGAGGAATGATAAGGACAACTTAGGGCATTCTGGAAAAGGGGAGGATGCATTCGCTTGGCACAGTCGGGTGGTGGAGAGGGGGGAATGACTTAGGAAGGCTTCCAAGAGGAGGTGACGTCTGAGTAGATGAAGCTGAAAGGGTGAGGGAGAATTTTTCAAGTGAGGAAAGACTAGTGCCTTGTATGGAGGTGGAAGTTCCAGCATCTGTTAATGCCCCAGAAAGTACGGAACACAGGTAGACGCAAGTGCAGCTCTCCATGGTGCTGAAACCCCATTGTTCTAAGGCTGGGCTGTTTCTATTCAGCCTGGAATGTAGGTGATTCTTGCCTACTGTGCAATTCTGAAACAGAGGTGGGGTGAGGGGGAAGAGGGAGTAGGAGTTGGATTACAGAGAAAGGTAGGGAGAAAGGAGGGAGAGAAAGAGGAAAGGAGAAAAGGGGGGAAAGAAGATTATTTTTGGAGAACCAGAGCCACTATAAAATGTCCAAAAAATAGAAAGAATGGCAAGAATAACTTACCTTTTATGATTGTTCTCATGTGATTTTCAATTACTAAAAATAAAAACAAAAGCAACAAAGAACAGCAAATGTTCTTTCTCTTTGGAAATATTTGTTTCCTTATCAACTCTTGTCTCTGACTCGCCTGGCAGGGACTGTTACTCAGAACTACAATGTGAAACATGGAGCTTAAGGTGTGTGTTTGGGTGGTTAGCAGGAATCAGATCACAGCATCTAGAAT